GGCTCCCACTTCTTGCGCCTTAAAAAAACTTGGCTTGTAAGAGCCAACCCTTTTAATATGATTCCCCCCAGTTGAAAGTACAAAAATGCAACTTTTTTCCTAGTTCATTATTAACTTTATCAGTGAGGATAATATTTACAGAACTCTTTTTTTTTCTAAGATTTTAAGCAAGACTATTTGCAGAAAAGATTTTACATCACATTTGGACAAAAGAAAAAAAAAAAAAGAATGTAATAATGTAATTTATGGTTTGGCTGGCTAATTGGGCTAATTGCAGTCAGGAAGTTTGATTTTGCTCCCCAGTCCTGATTGTCAGATATTTGCAATGAATTTTAAAATAGTTAAAATTCCTATAGACTTACTGAATGAGTTCATGTTCAAGAATCATGTGCAGAAAAAGGAGTTACAACTTTTTAGACAAACCCGTCAGTGACAAACTTTCATGCGCTCTGCTCTACTCAGCAAACTCAATTCCCTTTTGATTTTATACCGCACTTTCATTCCCAGCACGTCTAGGTGTGAGATCAGAATCCAGGCACAGAAATCAGAAGGGAGGCAGATGTCATTCCCATCTACATGAGACATCCTTCATATTGGGAAAGTGGTCAAGGGACTCCAGCCCATGCTGCTGTAAAAACAACGTTCTTTCTCTCCTCCTCGCATCATTAGTGTCAGGACAGGAGCCCATCATGCTGAGAGCCCAGCGCTCTCCCGCTCTGACCTGGACACCATCCTGCAAAACAGCCTCCTCCAGAGCAACCTGACCAGCTCTTCATTTGAAGCATCTTGTTCAGTCTATAGTCTCTTAATGTGTCCCTGCACCACGCAATTTAACCCATTGAAAAAACACACCTATGAGCACACATAGTAGTCTAACTTATAAATGCAATTGCCTACAGTATAACTATTGCGATATTAAAGCTGTTTTAATCAAATGAAATGCATCCATTTTCAGAAAAAAATCTAATGCTGGAGGAGGAAGAGAACAGAGAGGTCAGAATTAGCATTATCCTTTTCTGATATCTCTTTATTTATAAAATATTGCACACATGAGTTACACAGGTTGGGATAATGAGAAATGCACATCTCTGCTTGGGATGTCTTTCAAAGCCATCATTCGTGAAACGTATAGCAAACAATCACAGAATAATAATTATTATATCCCCTTGGAGAAATGAGACCAGACAGTTGAGTTTAGTCCACAATGTGTTTGAGAGGCAACTCCTCTAAACCAAATCCGATCATGTTGCAGGCAGTGTCTAACCAAGCATGGAATTTATGCTTTTAACATGCATTTCAAATGCAACTGTTAAATAGAGTCACAGGAACTTGAGAAGATTTCTGTGGTGTTTGGTTGATCAGATTGTCGCAATACGTCATCCAGTATAAAGCTCTATACGTGCTGCAAATGCTCTAGGCAGGGCACACGCAGAGGGAATGGGTACATCAAATGTGCCACAAATCCTCGTCTTCTCCTCAGGGTTCTCATCCAGTGCCACTGACTGCAAGGCTCCCTCCGCCATCAGTGGGAAGCACCCACAAAACTGTGCATTTTTTGGTTCATCTTCTTTCTCTGCATAAATTACAAATCCAAACTAGAGACTGCAAAATATTTTTGTTTCCAAACAAAATTCCAAGTAACAAATTTTCGTTTCTCTTCTACTCTTTCACAATTCCTCTGTTTACTCCCATTGAAAATAATTTGAGTTATGTGATAGTTGTACAGAAAATCTTAGAAGTCTCTGGAGTAGCACACTGTATAACATACATTGAAGAAAGTGGAAGTCTCAAATAAAAGGAGGAGAAAAGAAAGCTGTTAAAGAAGGCAGTTTACCTCCAGCTTGTAGCAAGCTGAAAAGTGTACAACAGGAGGAGACTCTCAGGGTAAAATCCAGCTACACGCCAAGGCAGCAGAAAGTCTGTCTACCATTTAATCCTCAAAGGACATCACCATTAAGGTGTTAAGCCTTCCTGCCAGATCGCGACGCAGAAGTGATTATCATCCTTGGAAAGCATGCTGCAGAGAGCTTCTCTGTGAGTCAGTCTTGAAATGATCTCTTTCCTCTTACAACGCAGGAAGCATTCTCTATCCTGACCTGCAGTCACTCACCACCACACATTTCAATGCATGCTTCTAATGCAAAGGCTGGAATGCTGGACAAGGAAAACCAATTTTTCCACTCTTTTACAACTGTAGGCCCACGTTGACCTGAACATGGAGTCACTGAGAGAAACATTTGTGCTAGGAAAATGCAATGAAAAGGGCTACTTTTCCAAGTTTGTGGGACTCCCTCTTTCACAAAGAAAGTGAGGAAAACTTCATAGCACGTGACATTGCAGACATCTAACTTCATCCCACATGAAAACAAGAAGACAACCATGATCATGGTTTCAAAGCAATCTAGCTGGGGGAAACACAGAGCAAGCAACTGAAGCCAGCACTGGGATCCTAGAAGGCCGAAAGGCAGACTGTCCTTCATACTATATACGGATGTGTTTGTTCACATTAGCACGTGATGCAGGTTTTACAACCTGTCCTTGCACCCTCTGCTTGGTGTAAGATACCTTCCAGGTTAGGAGAAGGTGCTGGGTACCAGGACCCACACTACTACCCGCATACAAGGTCTGACTCTGCCCTCTCTAAAGAGAGTGACGAGACCCCTGCTGCCGTCAGCACTGCAGGGCTCTTGAATTTTCACTGTCCGTTACAGAGATGGAGCAGCTGCTGGGCTGTGCTCTGGGTTTTGGCTTGGCAGAGGTTGCAGGCACTTCCGCTCAGCTGGAGATGCAGCTTACCCCCCATCCCTCCAGACCCTCCTCACCCCACAGCCGCAGAGCAGGGACGACAGTCAGGTAGCTGACAATTTAATGCTGAGGACTGGGACGTGCTCATAATGTGGTAACAGGAGCTACGTAAGGCTCTCCAGTCATTATTTTATTCAAATTGTGGGTATTGGGGTTCTCAGGGGGGACAGTAGATCTTAGCATCTAGACCTCAGTAAACTGTTGTGTCATAGTAGCATGATGGCAGGACTGCTAAGTGAGTAAGACAGCACTGGTCATTTTGTGCTCACTGTGCTGATAACCAAGCGTTTTTAGCATTTCAACGTTTTGCAGCCCAAGCAGGGCTTCCTCTTTCTTGTCACTGTTTTGGCTAGTTGCGAGCTCTTTGCTTCAAGTGAAATTGATACCAGTGGTCTGAAAACACTAAAGTACGCCCTTGTGGCCACAACTAGAATGAACTATGGTTATTAAAGGAAAAAAAAAGAAAGAAAAAAAAAAAGAAAGCAAAGTTATAATGTAGCAGATATTACCTCACGTTACAGGAAAACAGCAGAGGAAGGCACATGCTTTCCAGTTTTGTTCTTCGCAATGGTTGGCAGAGCTTTTCAGGCTTACCTTTCAGAAACCAAGGCCACTACCACTGGTAGCCCTGCAGACGGCTGCTCTCCAATGCTGTTTCTTGGATAGACTCAACCAGCATGTCCCAGCTACAGAAGCCACACCAACCATGCACTCACTGGCACCCCTGGTCTGCAGGGATAATGCACATCCCTGCTTCCGGCTACATTTCATACTAGTGATGAGGCTCTGGCACAGCTGCTCCTCACTGCCAGAGGAACTAAAAGATAAAACCTGTCCTCAGAGGAAAATAATTTTCTCTGGCACTGAAGAATCCATTACAATTTGGAGAATTCTTGGTAGAGAAACGACATTTGGTGCCTGGAGGTGGGCTGTGGACCATGTGTAACTGAGGCAGTCTCATCTTTGCCCTGCAGATGGACACTCTGCAACACTTGGTGTGGAGCAAGAACTCCCTCTTTTCCCACCTCTCTGAACTGGCAGGTTGTTTCTGAAGGCCACTGATGGCAGACATCCACCTTTCTTACATCTGTGCCTGTACACTTCAGCACAAGGGCAGGTGGCCAGCAAAAGTTGTGGTGGGGCTTACAGGGATTAGGAGCTGATGTAAGGAAAGGAAAACCAGAAATAGGAGGCAAAGACAGGAAGCGAAAAGAAGAGAAATAAGTAACATAACCTGCCACATTCTGCAACAGGGGCTGCGTTTCTCCCTGCTCTCGGTGCAGCGACGATCGTACTGCAGGCAGAAGCAAACAAATACACCTTGGAGACCTACCAGGTGCAGGGAAAGGCCTTTGGGCTGAATTTCTCCCTTAGTACCAAAGGGCTTTGTTGCAGGGGAAGGCAGGAAAGATGGGATGCAATGCTTGAGGCAAGCTTTTGGGTGAGATCTTAACAAAGATCAAATGAACCTCACTGTGGACTTCCTACTTTTGAAAATGTAAGGCTCCGTGCTAGACAGGAGTTTGCTTGTCCATGTAACACAAGATGAGGGTGACTGCCAGTGGTCCTGCAGTCTCCTCCTTTGACTCTGTCAATATTATGTTCATGAGTGTCAAAGAGGAGGTGGAAGAGAAAAGGAAAAAGAAAGTGGCTTATGGCTTCAGAAACATCTTTTCCACAAAAGCAAGTGAGTATGCAAAAATAAAAAACTAAACAGTATCCCCAAAAAGATTGCATTTCGCAATCTTTTTTTTTTTTTTTTAAATAACACTTGAAAAGATATGAGGAAGGGAAGAAAAAGGTAAAAGCCAAGACCCTAAATGCAGAAGGACATGGAGGCACCTGTTAGGAAAGGAAGTGCCACCAGCGAAACATTGGTTTGATTTCCCTGTGGAACTCCGTGCTCTTGGAAATGCCTAATATAGGTACAGAGTTAGCATGGCCAGCACCCTCGCCAACCCGAGTAGTCCAGGCTTGGTGGCCAGGGGTCAGCCCTGTCATTTGGGAGATATAGTCCCACTCAGGGAGGTGTAGCCCACCATAGGGGGGTGCAGTCCACACTTCTTGTTTGGAACAAGCTGTTTCTCCTCCCTCTAAAAAGAGGGGCTTTGCATAGAGCCACTGTTTGGGGGCCCATGGGCTGGTCCGAGTCAATGTCTGGACAGGTAGACATGGGGGACCCCCTAAGCTATCCCTCAGACTGACGGGGTGGCGACAGCCCTCTCATACATGCGCTCCAAGATGCGGTGGATGCTGGCAAAGCCTGGCCGGTCAGCAGGCAGCTTGCTCCAGCAGAGGCGCATCAGGTTGTAGAGCTCCAGGGGACAATTGTCCGGGCAGGAGAGGACATTCCCATCCCTCACGTAGTAGATGACCTCCTCGTGAGCCATCCCGTAGTAGGGCTGCATGCCATAAGAGAAGATCTCCCACAGCACCACCCCATAGGCCCACACGTCAGACTCTGTGGTGTAGCGGTTGTAGAAAATGGACTCAGGGGGCATCCAGCGGATGGGGATGGCATCATTCTCATTTGCTTTGTAATAATCAGCTGAATACATGTTCCTTGACAGACCGAAATCGGCGATTTTGACCACCATGTTCTCTCCCACCAGGCAGTTCCTGGTAGCCAAATCCCGGTGGACAAACTTGCGCTCAGACAGGTATGCCATGCCAGCAGCCACCTGCTTGGCAATGCAGAGCTGGCTGGTGCAGCACAGTGCCAAGGGGTTGGGGAGGCGGATCCGTGCATCCAGGCTACTGTGCACCAGGCTGCAGAGGTTGCGGGGCGAGCGGTCACGCAGATACTCGTTGAGATCCCCGTAGGCCATGTACTCGAACAGCAGGCACATCGGTTTCCCAATAGCACACACACCTGGAAGAGGACAGATGCACCATGCAGGTCATTTGGGGAGCAAAGAGGGCTCTTTTGTGCAAAACCAAAAAAATCCAAAAATATTTACACAAAGGGGAGCGTTTCAAGAATGCATGAAGGGACAGAGAGAAAGATGAAGCATGCAAATACCATCAAGTTTGCATGCATTCCTTTCTGCCTTTGAAGCTCCCTCGCCAGCGATCTAATGCTGAGCTCTGTGGGAGATGCTAACAAGTCATGCAGTTGTCTGATTTGTCTGGACATCCCAGGAAAAAGTTACACTTCTGAAGCTATGTTTAATTAAAAGCCCAATCCCACTTAAGTTGGCATTAACAGAAGTATTGCCTCTTCCCAGGTGCAACTAGAAGGACATACTTTCAGTAAGTAACCTTTGTAGTTCTAATTGCAGTATTTTTTAATTCTTTTATTTGTTGTAATTATTGTTCTTATACTGACATGGGTGTCCCCCATACCGCTACTGCTACTACTGATATAGTTGCGTCCCACCACAACTTCTTCTGGGTTTTTCTTTTATTTTAAACAGCTCATGCAAAATATGTTGGTTGCAGAAATTACTTTTGGCATGACAGATACTCAAAAATTAAAGAAAGACAAGAAAAAACAGGCATCAGAAAGGAGAGATTTGCCACATCTGGTTGATGCAGAAGTTAGTCCCACTGAAGGGCACATGCTTGGCCCTGCACCAGCTTTACTGGGGGTCAGCATCGGTACAGTACACTCCCATGAGTTTTACTGAGCATACAGTGATATGGCAAAAATATTTGCATGCCTGTTATTAAATTGCCAACAAGCAAAAGCCAGCACTTAAAATGTATGTGTTTTGCTTTCTTAAGGCGATCATTTAGCAATTGGTGATCCAACTTATTGTGAAATCTGAAATTCTTGTTGATGACCTAACACTTGAATCTTTGAGGAAAAACAGATAGCTGTTCCCAGAGTGATAAAATCAGGATCTGACAAGCATGAGGAGTGTATGTGAGAGCTTTATCATCTAAGCTGTCTTCAACAACATGGCTGTTTTCCCCACGTCCGCTATGTGAAACTAGTTTGTTCCTGTACCTTTGCCCTTTCCTGACCTAAAATGTGTTGACAATAAACACAATGTTTATTTGAGTTTGGGGCATTTCCTGCTTTTCTTTTCTGTAGCCAAAGTATCAACCCAGCTCTCCTCAAACTAGGATTTATCTATTTCCAAATTTGTGGAGCTTCCTATTGAAATAAATGAAGACCTCAGCTACCTGTTCACAAGGATCAGATCTGCATACAACAGCTTAGAGCAGGATTGCCAGGTGAAGGTGGCCAGCAACATCTAGTTCAGTCAAAAACTAAAAATTTACTGAAATAAAATTTGGTTAGCAGCTTTCACAGGAGAATGCCTTATTGGCCACGCTGTGGTGTCAAGACTTTCAAAAAACCCCAATAAACCAGGGTTTCCTTTCAGCTGGGAAGGGAAGGAAGAGACCATTTTTGTGGTTGGCTTTTTTTGTTTACTTGTTTCATTTTGTTTTTTTTAATGCTGGTGAGTGTTCAGACATCACAATAGTAAGTGGGACCCATAAAACTAACAAGACTTGTGTCTGGGTTTTTTAAGTACCCACAAAATAAATTACAGCTCCAGGAAGCTCGTGCCTTCCCTGTGAGACATCTGTGCCAATGTTATTAAACTGGAAGCAGAGCTAGGCAGTAAGATGGTCAACAGTATGCAGGACGAGGAGGGTTTAGTACGAAGCACCATCCTCTTAAGGCAACAGCATCCAACCTACATTTTGAAACTTGTTCTGGTGGACAATCTAGCAAAGCATACAGAGGCACATAGAAAAGCTCACCTCTTTTGCAAGAGGCATTTTCTCTTGCAGAAGAAACCAGCATTTCCATTTGCATTAGGTGCTGGTCGCACCATGTGTTCGCCCCTGCACCCCCAACAGCCCCACAGCACATTTGCAGAAGGTGGTACCCTGTACGTGGGCAACTCATTCTGATACCTAAAAGCTTGACGATATTTGGATTGTCAAACTCTGCCATGAGGGCTGCCTCCCTCTGAAAGTCGGCCTGCATGTCTGCAGATGCTTCCTCCTTCAGCATTTTCACTGCCACCATTGTGAAAGGCTCATACGGCAGCAGCCCTGGGGCCCTGCAGGAAGAGGGAAGAAGGAAAAGCATCAGGGATGCATGCATGCACACCAAATGTAGGGCTTGTTTCTGGTGCAAAAGAAGACACTGACAGAAAGAAAGAAAAGAAAAAAAAAAAAAGCTGAAGGCCCCAGGACCTCATGGGCATGTCTGCATTGCATAGTACAGAGACAAACAATTTAGTTCAGGGGGGGGACTAAATCCAGTATTGCTTGTTTTGATCACTGCTCTTTCTTCTTACAGACTCTTAATATGACTGGTAAAGAGGTAGATGAATAACAGGTTGGTAAGTAGTACCCTCTCCCTGCATTGGATGTCGCATCAGAAACTTCACGGAGGGCAGAATGGACTCTTCATTGCTACCAATTAGCTTTCGGGGTGTAAAGACTGAGCTTACCATAGTTAAAAATAAACCTATTTTATATGAAAATATTGAAAGAGCCTCTTTTCACTGCATTTTTCCCATACCTCACTAAATGGTGGCATTGGTACATCTGGCTACTAATAGGGTGAAAATAATAATTACAGTAAGTATGTTCATCTGGTTTTTTAAGGAAAATAGCCTTTTGACGCTGTTCTCTGTATGTGTGTGGCACGTGTGTGTGCCTGTAAGTCAGCAAGTTATAAACTCATTGGCTAATTTCAGCTGAATTTAACGTGGTGGAGCTGAGGTCTGGGAAATAGTTATCCTCCTGCAAGTTTTGTGAAAACTTGTGACAGGACAGAAAGGACAAGGCATACATGTACCCTGTCTGAAGAACAAAGTAATTCTTGAATACACCTGTGTTAAAACACTGGTGAATCTTCAGCTAGAGCTTAGAGACACAAATCCATACGAAATAGAGCTTCCTGACTTGGAGCAAACAGAGACTCATTTTGTTTTCTTATCCACAGGTCACTGCGCCCTCAACAAGTTTAATTAGATGGGCTTGTGAAAGATTTAGGGGTAGCTGTTGCCAAAGAAGAGTAACTTTCCACTCTTCAAACATGCATCAAAGTTCAGATGTGCATTTTGTTGCCCATGCCAATTCTTCCCAGGGGTCCTGCAGTTAAAACATGTTCCTTACAGGTAGCCACCCAGAGCTCATAGAGAGCAGCGCCCATGTACATGTCATGTTACTACATGAGCCTGACTGCCCTCCCCTGGCTCAAATGCCAGGCTGTTTTACTGCTCAGTAGCCCCAAGAGAAGGTTCCGATTTCTAAAGCAAACTTCCAGTTCCCTTGTCATCTACTCCAGACATATGGCAGTTGCAACAGATGCACTTGGATGCTGTAAATGTCAAATGTCAGAAGATGGCAGGGTGCCCATTGAGAAAGGAATCTCACAGGTGGCCAGATCGCAGCTGAGACACTTGGGCAAGGAGGTCTGGCATGCTGTAGCAAAGGAGCGGACTCCACACTTGTCTGCTACTGCCTCCATTACAGCAAAATACTTTCCTTTTTTTTCCCCTGTGCTGGCAGTAAGTTTCCAGTCTAGTAGGAAGGGAGAAGTACCAGCACCTACCAGCTGCTGTATAATCCCAGCACGCAAGAAAGTCAGCAGCAACAGCCAGAAGAAACCAGTGGAGCATTTAAAAGTAAAAAGAGGAGGGCCTTTATCTCTTCCAAACAGCGTCGTTGTAGATTACCACTCATCACTGGCTAGCAGACCTACTGCAGTGCCAAAGCAGGGGCAGGCACAGCTCTGTCTTGCACGCTTTGGAGAGAGAAGCTCACCCCAGTCTAAAGCCTGAAGTACACCCATCCATCTACTCTTCACTTAAATCCCGTAATGTAAACTAACCTAAATGTAACTTAAGTGACATTAAGCTGCACAAAGCCTTTTAATGGGCCTTCAGGCAACAGCAAGTAATTTCACCCTTGGTAATTCATGTGCTACTTCAGCCCAGTTCTCAGCAGACCTGGGAAGATCACACTGATCCGGAACAGAGACAGAGTGTTTGCAGTCCTGGCAGAGAGCTGTTGGAATTTGACCCCTTCAGTGCCCAAAAGACAGTCTTTGCACAAAGAGACAGGGGCAAATCTGCAGGGGAACAATGGGAAACTTCTGAAATTAACCAGGAGAATTCAGGTGGCAGACCAGAACATGGAGTGTTTTCTAGAAAATAGGTAAATTTCTTCTAGAACTGGGAAGTATCAACAGAAATTACCTTGGGTTTCCTCTCTTGTGGTTATCTAAATGCTTAGGAGAAACATCCACTGTTTGCGCATGGGTTGGACAGCCACTGTCCTCGCAACCCTCACCGTCGATGGCTTTGTGCAACACCGGTATTTGGCTTTTGGGAAGCTGCGATTCAAAGAACTAACCAACAGTGCAATTAGAGATTTCTCCCTCAGCCTACCTACAGAGAGTGCCTGACTTTAAGTTTCCAGTCAGGTTTTCTTTCCAGAGCAGTAACTGAAACTGAGGAGCAGCTTGAACCTGTATTTGAGATTGTGTCCTGTCCCCCGTTTTCCTCAACATCACAGCTGGGTAGCTTCTGTTAGATTATTAAATGATGCAGTTAACATCTACTACGGCTGGTAGAGACCTGCCTTTACCCCGTCCTTTGGAGAAATTTATATGTGGGCAGGAGAGTGCTCTGAATTGGTGGGGGCTTATTTTGTTGTGTGTTTTTTTAATTAACATCCACACTGTTTTGCAACTACATTTGAGACAGCAAGTCAAAGAAACACCCTTTGCACTTGGCAAGAATATACGGAGTCTTCTATCAGAGAAACTCCAACCTTAGGGACAGCCTCGTATCTTGCAGAGACAACGAGCTGTGCCTTTGCAGTGGGGGTCTACTGGCCTGCTAGCAAAGATCCCACATCCAGGAGTTTAGGCAACCCTGGACTCAGGCTTAGCCTGGACCATGCACCTCCAGCTCTGAGAGAACAGTTGCATGCTGGTCTGCATTAAACCACACAGGGCTAGTGGCATGTGGGGCCAGCATGGTCCTCCCAGGGGCAGAGGATCCTGAGTTGGCCATCACAACCCATTCAGTACAGACCTGAGCCAGGTCCTGAATCTTGTTTTAAGGGCATCTGTTAGGATAACTGGTTATTTCCTCATCCTTTCCAGTGTGAAGGTGCCCCCAGTGAATACCGCAGCCTTTCAGGAGAAGCTGGTAAATGATAGCCAGACGCTTCCTGTCCTAACATGTTGCTTGACCCAGGAGTGAGTAAACACTGAATCAGGACTCACAGCAAGCCAGCTGGCAAAGGCATCGCTGGCAGTGGGCGCAGAGCTGTGTTTACAGGAGAGGGAGAAACATGAGACCAGGAGAAGTAAGAGGGTTGCTAAACTTAGCTCGAGATGTCCATTTAACACACGTAGACAAGTACATTTTATCCATCTGAGACAGGAAGGCAATTATTTGAGTTGTGATAGCTTTAGTAACCTGGAGGGATGCACAGCTGGCGCTACTGGATCAGCAGTCTGCGCTGATCTGCCAGTGGTGCACAGAAATGCCAGTGGCTTAAATGTTCCCTGGAAATATAAGGCCTTGGAGGGACTTTTGAGAGTGATATTAATAACAATAAGGAAGCCCCTCAGAAGCATTAATTCTGCGGCTCCTTCCCTGAGCCACAGAGTGCAGGAGTTTCTCAGGGTATGGTACTCTCCGCTTTGCAAAACCTGGCTAAGAAGATGTGTTAGGTTTGGGTTTTTTGTGTGTGTGTGTGTGTGTCTTTTTCTCCCAGTTTCCACTGGTTTAATTAAAAGAAAATGCGGCACTGAGGTGGATGAAATCCACATAGAATGTCTCTATGCCACTTTAGCACTTGCTTAACCCAGTGCTTTAGTGACATTTGAATGCCCTTTGAGAGATCCTGCTCAATGTGGGTGAGAGTGTTCTTCAGCTCAGAAGGGTCTACGCAGCACTTAAATTATACTGGAACTCCCAGCACAGGACCAAAGAGGCACTTGGCAGGAAGACCACCTGCCCTGCTGGTGCATCCACAGTGTGGTGAAGACCCCTGCTGCCCAAGCAGGAAGGTGATGCTCCACAGGGCATCCCAAGGGCTATGCTGAGGCAGGGACGAGGGCTGCCCTGTGCTCCTGCGCCAGCTGTTGTGCAATGCCCCGAGCACAGCTGTGGCGCAGTTCCTGCAGCTTTGCTCTTGTTTCAAGCTCAGATGTGTTTGGTTTTGCCATCCAGGCTGACAATCAATCACAGGTCAGGCATTTGTGATTTTCCCACTGCACACCCTTCAAACTTTGTTATTTTTAGCTCTCTCTGTATTAAAGAAATGTATGCCTGCATTTCTTCCATTAGAAAAAATGCATCCCTTCATTAGAAAAAAAAATAATCAATCACCACTATTGAAATTTTTTCCCTGCTCTAACAAATTTAACCTGCACGTAACTCATTTCCTAGGGGATACATCAACAGCATAACTATAAACATAAAAATTATCTGCAATTATGACTGCTTTTTGCAAGGAGAGTCCTTTGTCTTTGAAGTCAATGGGAGCACTTCCACTCTCCAGGTCTTGGCCTAAGGTGGAACTCTGATAGTCCACTGGGTTTTTTGAGGTCATCATACACTACTCCAGATACAGCTACAAAATCAGACACATCCTAGACTTGTTAACTGTAAAGGATAAAGAAAACCATCCTAAGTAAACATGGAACTGGACAGACTGTCCACTTTCTTTCAAGAATTTGGGGATGGGATTTTCCGAGGAGACCAGTACTGATCAAAGACAGTCCTGCAGGAATTATGGAATCTGTCAAAGCTGACAAGACACCCTCCATCCACCTCAGCCTAGGCAGGACTGGGTTCCTCTCCAGGTTTTTCAATGAAACATTTTTCACATTTGAAGAAGTGAATGATCTCACCTCCCATAAGACTTAACAAAACTGGGATCGCATCTAATACCTTAAATTTAAAACAGGCAACAATGGCTGCAAATTCCAAGAATAAAAAATGAGTAACTGAAGACGACACACAAAAAAAAAGATTGTTGGCTTAAGTGGGTTGGGTTTTTAGGGGATTTTTCGTTTGGTTTGTTTTTGCCACTGAATCAAATGGAAACTGGGTCAGAACCTAGCTGTAGCATGACACATTGCCCTCTGTGGTAGTTACTGGCCAGTGTTGGCGTTATAATGGAGGACACCACACACTGGCAATTCGTAAATACTGGGAAATGCAAGAATTTCACAATAGGTCACATGTCACAGGCAATACTCTTGGCAAAAACAGTGATGATAAATTTAGCTAAGCTTTTACACGAGATTTTGGTATGTGAGTAAGACATTACATCTACTACAGAGAACAGGAGAATCATTTGTGACAAAACTTTAGCAAATATCAACAGAAAGCAGTGGGCAACAGAAACAATTATTCAAGCCAGAGCGTACCATTTGGTACATGTGCATAATATTTTGGTTTGAGTGAATGAATTAATGATTTCCAGTGCTCGGATCATTGGTTGCCTGATTGCCAATTTTTCCCAGGTACCTCCAGATAAAGAAGACTCAAGCACAGGCCACTTACCTTGCTTGGAAGACTCTCCCAAATGCTCCTTCCCCAATATCTCTCACATATTCAATATTGTTCCTGGGATACTCAAGGCTGAGCAATTTTGGATTGAGAAGAAGGGGCATCCGCTGGTACATCGGGTTGGGATGCAGCCGGTCCAGGAGGAGTTCAGAGGGCAAAGTGGTGAGTGTCGGTGTCTCTGACTCTCTGAAATGACAGAGCAGTTTTTGGTCAGTATGTGCACAGCCCTCAAACAGGACATAACTAGCTGTACCTCCTCTGGGGATGGTTTCTTCCAGGATGGAAAAGGGAGGTGCACCAGGGCTTTTGAAAGCATCTTGCAGCAAGATGTCATGCCATGTCCCCCAAACAGTCACCAGGCCACCTTCTGCTCTGGCACAGGAACTTTCCAGAGCTTGCAACTGGGCTGCCACAGGCTAAAGGAGGGCTGCTCTCCACCTACCAGGTGTTTGCAGGACTATGCTGTCAGAAACAGGCAAGCCCTCTTTCAAAGCAGCATTTGTCCCAAGACTTAAGTCCCGGGGTTTACCTTTTCTTGTTTTTCCACTGCTTTCGCCGACGGCAGCAAACCAGGGTGACAATGCCAAGGATGACAACCAGGGCAAAGCTGGAGATGACGGAGATGATAACAGTCATGGAGTACGTAGGGGAAAAAGGAGGAGGAAGGGGGAGATTTGGAGTCTCTCCATTTGGTTTTCTTGTTCCTAGGGATAATGATGCTGTAATGCAAACAAAATCAGAAGGTTATGCCTCTGCTAGTTTATAGGGCTTTCTCTAAGGTATTTACAGAGCCAGTGTGATGTCCAGGGAATTACTGATATTAGAGATACAACCATACGACTGCATGAGAGGACCATAGGGGAAGCCTGGTTTGCAGGAAGCAAAACCCCTTTCTGCTTGCCAGATGTGAGAACCCAGGATCTGGTAAACACCAAGACACAGTTCACCTTGAGCTGGGAACACAATTTTCGTAAGGAATGTTTGCAAGAGCTACAAATGGGAGATTGCGTCTGACGGTCTCAACAGTATTCAAATATAGTAATGTCTGCAGTGGGAAAGATCAATGGTTTACAATGTGGACCACAATGTATCATGTGTCCTAAAAGGAATCTGCAGGGAGGAGTGCAAGACCAAGTAAGTACACAGTGATACTTTCCTGAAATATCCCCTTGCTTCCAACAATTTGCGTCTCCGTGTCTTTATGGAGCAAATATGGTAAACTAGTGTAAAATAGATTTGGCTGTATTGTTAGGAAAAAAAAAATATTCAGGTTGCCACCTGCTGAGTACTTTCTGAGACATTCTAGAAAATGCTAATGCATACATGAAATGATTGAGAACAGAAAGAAATTTAAACCATTCCTTTTAAGGCCAACTAAACTGATACTGACTTACATTCCCTTAAGTCCACAGCACCCCTGTTCTCCGTGCAAGCAGCATTGTCTTATTTACAAACACTGAGATCCAGAAACTGTGTATCTTGGAAGAAATATGTTTCAAAAATTGTTCTGTTCTTTGAACAAAAAATAACAGAACTAGTTAGTTTCAACATCACAGAACAAAGACATTTCCATCTTTTTCAGATTTAGTTTTAGTTAGAATTGGGTTTTTATTATTGAAAAAAAATTGCCAGAAGCACAACGGCTTTGTAAAATAGCCCAAAACCCTACCTTCTCCTCAAAACACAGTGTGGCAAATCCATTCTTCATAATACAACAGGAAATTTTATTTTGTCCTTTAGCCTTAATATAATCTGGGGCTAGGTGCTCAATTTGCCTATCTTAATTTTCCCATCTTTAAGGTGCATGTTACACCTTCTGGTTAAAGATGTTGAGTGAATCTATGACAAGAACCAGGGCTGGCCAAATCCAGAAGACAGAACAGACTGGTGACCGTAAGCGCACAGGATGCAAACACCTTGCATGGCCCCAAAACAACACAGTGGCAGAAATCATAAATTGCAGTTGCCTACCATCTCCGCAGGGAGACACGCTGCAGTATTCCCATGTCACAGATGGGTCTTTTGTGTAGCACCAGGGACGTTCGTTCTCACCTCCTGGATTGCGGCAGTAATTCTCAGCATCAGACAGCTCAGGGAAAACCTGAGGAGTCCTCCTGTGCAAGTGGGGAGCCTTGGGGGAGGAAACAAATTGGATTAATGTTGCAGCATAATTTTTCATGCTAGTATTAGCAAAACAAAGCCAAACAAAACAAAGGAACAAAGAAAGGCAGAGGTAAAAGCCTTTCAGTAGCTTGCCAAAATGACAGAGAACGCATCTTGCCACCGGAAGGGGAACTTGCGGATTGAAATACAAAGAGAGTGTGAAACACCGATGAACTCAAGAATGAAGGAAACCTGTCCCCTGCTTAGCCCTTGCACTGGGACCGGGCCTTCTGGCTCTTGGAAACTCTTTGAAAAAGCAGATCTCGAGCATGGCTCTCCATTCGGTGGGTCTCACATTGATGCACACCTGATCACTCCACTTCTGGCAGGGAATGCCGGAGGCTGTGGTGTTGGCCCAGCCCTGGTAAAACTGGCCATTGCCACTGTAGCAAGTCCCTGGGGGAAGAAAAAAACCCACATGGGGTCAAGTCATCTCAGACCATATCCTGCAGTGGGGACTTCCAAGAGTAAACTTTATGTCGTTACACAAGACCATGTGGCAATCAGCAATAGATCTGAAGCACATAAAAGGACCACATAACTGCAGGCAGGGAACTGATAGCCTCCTGTTCACACTTACATGGATTTTGGGTTCAATACATATGATCAAATCTGGTAAAACTCCAAAGAGGGAACAGATTGAGAAAACAGGCCATGCGCCTGACATGGTTGCACTGCATCTACCCAGTTCACAGCGCTTCCATGCAGAAATTGCAGAGCAGAACCACAGTGAAGCCACCTATGCTAAGCCAAGGCAGAAAGCACATTGCAGCACGGGTTGCGTGATTCCCAGCCTGCACTCGTACAGGGGCACTAAGAGGAAGACACACGTGTTCCTGAGGTAGGTAGCAAAGGGCTGGGATTCATAAAGTCCCACAGTGGTATCCCTCCTCCCTGCCTCTGTACAGTGCTTGTCCTCTTAGACTGAATGTTTGGAAACAGCCTATAGTTTCCAGTATGTGTGGAAACCACACACTGAAGACAACTACAGATATGAAGGAATAGTATCAGTATAAAATAATGTTCTTCATAATGAAGAATGTGTAGTTCACTTTCCATACACAAGTCTTACTCCAGCTGTAGAAAAATTAAGGGCAAAACCTTGAGAGGATTTTTACTGCAGGAGCATGTTCCCAAAATATAAATATAGGCACCACCTGTCCTCATATGAGTCTTTAATGCATGCTGGCACAAACTACGAAGCAGGAAGACAACAGAGGAGATGCAGCCTTACACACTTTAACTCATGCTAGCTAACCTTAAGTACACTTTTCTGACCAGGGACTAACACTCTGGTTGATAGCATGCATTAGGCTCCACTACATTATTAACCTTGTTAGATAAAGTAACAAGCCAGCAAACACTGATGTTATAGTTTTATTTTCTATTGTGTTCTTAAACTTGCAGCTTAGTAAAAGAAAACCAGGAGGAAACCTGACCTGTTTTAAAATAAAGATTTTTTTAAGCAAATCTTTTTCAGCTTCATGAAAGATTTGTGTAAGTTTTGATCTAAGTTTGAGACAAAGGCTAAGCATTTTAATTTAACCTCGCAGATTGTCCTGTTTGTCCTGTAGGAGGATAGTAAATGCATCATGATCGCTATCTGCATTTTTCTTCTTCCATCACCCGCTGTACTCAGGATTGCAGTTATGGGTCTTTTATAGAGCCTTGGTGTTCTGAACTTTAACCAGGCACCAGGCACTACACATGGGTTGGTTGAAACACCACTATGACAACGTTTCCTCCAGGTGAGTGAGCTCAAACACAGGATCAAGTTCCTGTAGCCCAAGACATGCAAACACCTCAGTATAGGAATGGCCATGGACTTCATGAGCACACTTAACTCATCTCAAATGCAAAGTGAAATGCTCTAACTTGGACTTCTTTGATTGATATTTAAGTTACCGAGTTACACCTCACATCTGCAACAAGCTCGCAGCACCCATATGACTAGCGCCTGTAGCTCTGCAGAAGTGTAAAATGTTGTTAAGCTGACCAGGGACATAGTTGCGTGTCTGAGCCCAGCATTTTAAATGTCTCACATTCAAAGGCAAGGAGAGCAATGCCTGAAACCTGCCTCATGACTGACCCAGCAACCAACAAAAAAAAAAACCAAAAACTTTTGCAGAGGTCTGAAATAAACATCAGTGTGACACCTTAGGGGAGCAATGTGGAGAGCTTTAGGAGCAACAGCAGGACTAAGAAAGCACCCCTGAGTCCTTGGTGGCCTGGAAAATGCAGATGGTCTCATACATGGTCATGCTACAATGAGGACATGAAGGTGGTCCAACTGCCCTTTAATGAACAGCTTTGACGGGCAAGCTAGAAAAAGGTTTAGTTCATGCTCCCCAAGCCTTTGTGCATGTAACACTGGCTCTTAAGTAAAAAAGAGGGGTAAATATCACTAAAATGTTGCTGTTATGTCTCCCTGATTCACGACTGAATAGTGCACATTTGTGCAATGTCACCCTGGGAAAATACTGTGAAAGCTGAACAAAAAGGTCAGACATTTACACAGGAGACAGAGGCCACATCCTGATCTTGCAAACATCCAAGGGGAGGCTGAAACCATCCTGTGAATGCACCACTCATCTGCTGGGATCCCTCCCTCGTGCTCCTTTCCCCAGGGAGGGTATGGCTGCAGCTGCGGGCTGTAAGCATTGGGCAGTGATGCAAGAGCACCCACAGGGTGCTAAAGCTCTTGTCTCCCAGGTGTGCAGCACTGGGCACACGAGGCTTGGGTGGCCAGGTGAGGCCAAGGCCTTTCCATGAAAGCAAATGCCCCCAAATCCTTGATTTCACCTTTTTCAGTTTCTCTCTATGCAGAGGGTGCCTGCCGCTGCCAAATCTGCAGACCTGGCCTGCTTGGAAGCATGGCAGAAGGGAGGCGCTGTTCTTCCTTTTTCCAATGAGACAAGTTCAGTGGCTGAGCTTTAAACGGCAGTTGCATGTCAGTTGGAAGAGCTGGATGTGGATGTTTCAGCTGTGACCGTCAGCAGGGTGGGAGGCCGACAGAAGTCACAGCAGTGCTGCGGAGGATGGCTGGGTCTCGCTGTTGGTCATGGTGAGGTCACGCAAGAAATGGTGAGACTTCAGAGATGATTGGAGGAGAATGCTGGGGTCTTGTGGGTAATAAGGTCTTGCAAGGCCAGCCTGACACAGGTAACCATATCAGTAACACCATATAAGGCTGGGATGACCTCAGTAGTAGTATCAGAAGTACTAAATATGGGTAAAGCAAAACTGGAAGCAATGGGTAGAAAAAAGGGGGAACAGCTGGAGGGGAGCATCGAAAACCAATGTGCTTCTGTAATTGCCTTCAACAGTTACCAGCCTACGTTCTCCCCAAGCCCTGAAGAGCTGGGAATGTGTTTCCCCATGCCTTGGATGTGGACGTTCAGGCATTTGCTGGTAACAACCCAAATCCAGTCAGCCAGGACCAGAGCAAAACACAAAAATGCCGTGCAAGCTGCATCTTCACAAAGAATATCATGCCCACCTCTAGATACATAGAGCCTGGAGCAGTCTACTTACTGGTTATATTCTCCTTCTTAAAATCTGTAAAAAGACGAGACGTAAGGAGGGGTTGTCCAGGATGTTGTATAACTGGGTGTTTTCTTTGGAGTATGCTATGGGAAAAAGTTCCCTCGCAGCAATGTGCTTACGCAGCTTGCTTCTTTGCAACAAACTCAATGATCTTCAAGGTCCTCTCCAACCTAAACCATTCTATGATTCTATGATTCTATAATGGCACCTGAATGGTGATTTTTCCATCATTAAGACTGATTCTGGCAATGAGGTTTTTATGACCCTCTCAATAAAGAGCCAGGCTTTATTTCCCTGAGGGATTTTTCCCACAGCCCAGTCAGAGAAGACAGGCAAACAGCTGATGCAGCTGTCACAGCTCTGTGCACAGGTGCTGACAGGACAGTACACACCATCAGCCTTTACTTTAGCTGTAAATTATGCATCGTATCATTCCCCCTCTTCCCTCACCAAGAACACAGCTCTCCAGACAGTGAGCATCATGTGCCACCTTACCGAAGAAAGGGATGCGGGTGCAGGCGCTGGGGTCCTGGTGAAGGCTGGGCAGCCTGTTGCATTCGGGAAGAGTGAGCAGCATCAGCCCAGGCTTGTAAATCCCCTTCTGAGAGTTTTCCTCCATTGAGAGCCATTCCTTAAAGCAGTAGAGATCCTTTACAGCAAGGCAATTCTCTCTACATTATTTTGCAAAAAACAGCGAAATACAGCAGTCAATGGCTTGATAACAACGGCCGCACTTAGCAGTGGTGTGCAGGGGTTATGCAGGCTGACAGAATCCATTAATGGGGCTACACTTCTTTAAGCCAGTCTGCCTGGCTCATAAACCATAAAGGAAACTCTGTATAAAAAGTAACAGTTTCCTTTAGGAAACCCACAAAGCTACATTTTTAATGAAGCAGGGTTATGCTCAAATCACACCACACGTAACAGTCTGTGACAAGTTCGTTTCCATCTTTTCCTACAGATACATTGCCGTGTTCCACTAATCTTAGCATTTTTCAATACATTCTAAAAATCTCACCTGTCTATAAATTGTACATTAAAGTGTCATCTGTTAAAGACAGGAGGTGAGCTGCAATTCTTAGTCTTCTTAAACCAGATATTTGCCTGTATTTTTAATCTCACAGAATCACCCATCCGATTTCCTTCTTTTCTCCACAAACACCTTTCAGGCCCTTTTTTTATCTGTCAGCTGTCTGCAGCAAAACCTTTACCATGCATGGTAAAGCAAGAGACCTAACTGTCTCCTACCTAACATATAACCTCCATCCATGTGCAACATTCACTGCTAAGAAGTGCTTTGGATGTTTAAACATTCCTTAGATCAGAAACGGTTTGTGAAGAAGCCAAAGGCAGAAATATCTGCTCTAACAAAAAACAAAAAACAAAAAAAAAAAAAAGAAACTGTACCATACTGGAAAGTTTGAGGGTTTATTGCGTAAGTCAATTGATTGGTGATTTGATTATTTATATACTCATTCTGGAGAGCCTGAGTTGCAAAACTAGCTTCGAGGTCACATGCAGAGATTACTTTTGCTGAGCTCAGCAAAAGTCCTTTGTGGATTCACATCCTTCCCGACCATCACACCTGCTGATAGGTGTGGGTGAGGACACAGTGATGTAGAAAGCTGCAGCTGGAGTCCATGGCGAAGGGTTTAGCCAAATTCATCACCTGGTGGGTTGATGCAGTTTCTTTACTTACAGTCTGCCAACAGTTTTGGCAAGAGCAGATGGCCACAAGTTTTGGTGACGACTACCAATGGTGCTAACCCTCTAAAGCACCTGAAGGACAGAGGCCATTGGGAATCCTACAAGGGCAGCAGCTTTTCTGCAACAGCAATGGATGCCCTTGAAGTCTGCTGGCTGAAGTCATTAAAGCCCAGCTGCCACATGCTTGGTTTTAACCAGGGCTAGTTTATTCCTTCTTCACTTCCATGAAAGCCAGAATGCAGCCAGATGGCATAATTTGTCTTTTTTATGTTAAACAACATGTGGAACAGGAATGACCTTCTGAAGAAAAGAAATGTTTAGCTAGGGAAATGAGAAAATCTTGCATTTGAAGCACTGGTCGACACTCAGGAGATCTGGACTGCGTTAGCTGCCTTCACTCCTGAAGCCTGAGCATCCGTAATCAAGGCCCCTATTCAGTGTGCAACCACAAAATGCAAAAGGCCATTTCCTCTGCAATCCTGTCTGCTCCACCATTAAAGATAGGTTATCTTCACCCACAAATCCACCGCAGGAGTGTGGTGAAGCAGCCAGAGGGAGGGATGGTCAGTCTCATCAAGCTGGGTTCATACCATTGTTATAACACTTAATCCTGAGCAGTGAGAGCTTGATGAGATCATATGCAAAGATTACTTCAGATTATTATTAGAAATTTTATGTCATGTAAGTGACAGATGGACAAAGAACAGTAGCAGCAGAAGAGGACAAGTGGGCCAGTGACATTTTAGGGACCACAAATGACTGTTTGAAAGGAGGTGGGGACACAGAGACCCAACCAAAGTGAGACGTTTCCCAACATGAGACTGTTCCCTGCAGCCTGGTCACTTCATATCAGCAGTGGTTGAAACAGAAACTGAGGGGTTTTCTCTTGATATCACAGAAGCAGCTAGTGGTAAAAGGCAGTTGTGATCAAGAATTATGAGATGAGACATCACTTTCCCTTAAAAACAGGAAAACCCTGATCTTAATCAAATTACATCTTAATTTACATGAAGTGAAATTTCTCCTATGTTGTTTTCTTCTGTTTCAGTTCATCTTGGTTTACCCCCTGATTATTTTTATAAAAGCTGTACTCTGTCTGTTTGTCAGTTGTTATTCTTGCTAGCTAGCTTCCAAACCAAAATGAGCATAAAAAAAATTACGCAGGGAGAGGAAAAATGGTGCAGGGAATAAACAACAAGACAAAAACAGATGGAAATATGTCAAGGGAAATAATGTCCCTCAAAAACTGGGAGAATTCTCTCCAGCCTCTGAGATAGTTAAAATCTTACTCATTAAGTATTTCAGCTGAAAACTAGTGTAGTCTAGCCAGTTTCTGAAGAGAGGTATAAAGTTGTCAGTAAAAAGCAGATAAGATAATTGGAAAGTAACCAAGAGCATGCAAAATGTGTTCAAGAGCCCCCAGAGGACTCAGCTGTTCAGAAGCATGTATTAGATGTCTGAGTTATCAAAAGGAGTATTGGGTTAGGGCTTTGGAAGAACTGTTGTCCCACTGATGTGCTTTGAGAACAGGAAACAGGAAGGATGCCATTCCAGGGCTCTTCATGAAGAGAGCTGCATTGAAATCTGCATTAAAATCACAGGGGAAAATCTTGAAAGGGAAAAAAAACGTAACATTGACTCATGGATTTGAAGAAAGATGATGGCAGGAAAGTCCATTAAAATTTAGACATATTTGCAAGTGCTGTGCCTGTTAGCTCAAGACCAAGTGCAAATTTTTGCTGATTTATATTACTCTGATTTCAGAAGCGCCCCAGAAGCGCAGGTTTTCAGTCTAATCACCATGAGTTCTGGTCCTGCAGGGCCACTCATGAGCAGGGGCAAATGAAGTGAGAGCCAGATCTCACTGAAATGCCTCGTGGAGCATTGTGCAAAATCCTTAGCTGCCAAATGGGCTGTGCATATGTGTCTCAGATATAAATACTGTCACACATCTTGAAAAAAGACAGAGAGATCATGTACTAAAGGGCACAATGACAAAGAGCAGAACAACAAGGTGGAAGGGAGGAGCGTGCCAGCAAAAAGCCAGTTTCAGTACTTGGCTGCATGATTATCTGTGGATACTTGCACATACACTTCTTTCGTGGGATATATGCCACTACTGTGCTGGCAGAGGGATACCGAACAGCATAGACCAAACAGAGAACACAATGTATTGACAAGCTTCTCACTGGGATTTTCCTCTGTGCCTTTGTTTTAGAGATATTAAAGGAGAAGTAATCAGAAAGGTCCAGATTACAAAAACAACATGCTGCTAATTGTCCTAAAAAGCCCCTACATAACTGGAAAAATAATTGCCAGTAGACTACATCTGGCACAAGTCCAGCTGGCAGCGTGCTTGCCATGTCTGCAGAGAAGTCTTGTATTTTACTTGAGACACTGGAGTTGGGGCTGCTCTCCCGATGAACACAAATCTGAATAATCTGTTTTAAGATGTGGTTCAAGGAGAACAAGAGTGAAGTACTGCACTTAGGCAGGGATGTCAGCTGCCCAAACATGAAATGGGTAATAGCCGGACAACAGTCTTCCAGGGGCTGAAAATGGACATGAATCAGTTGTGGCCGACAGTTGCATTTGGGAAAAAGAAAGCTTCACCCTGAGACATCCACATGGGGCTGTCCTCTGCAAGGCACACCAAGCAATCATCGTTCCATTATAGTTAACATTAACAGAACCCGGGCTGGAGGCTATATATATTTAGCACTCAAGGAAAGATGAGGAGCAGAAGCTTCAGAGGCTGGAAAAGCAAGAGCTATGAGCAGAGCATGGAAAAACCTGACTTACTCTAGTCTGAGAAGTTGGGGAAGATGTAAAATCTCACTGCAAAGAAGGGAAGAAATTCATCTCTGTGGCCATGGTGGGAAGATAAGGAGCAATGAGAGAAAGGCTGCTCAGGAGGTTGCACAGGGAGAGAGCAATGTCTCTGTCACTGGGACGTGTTGCACAAACACCTGTCAGCAGTGGATTAACTGTAGTGAGAGATGCTTTGGACTCCCTGGGGTCCCTGCCAGCCCTGTTTCAATCCACGTTTCTCTGCATTTGGGAGGATATAAAAGCCATGTGGGAGGTTTGGTTTATCAGGTACAATTACACTGGCACTGTCTCTGGTGTCATCTTTTTTTGTTTCATCTTCGTCGTGGTGGGAAGGGCTGAATGATTAGTGTATTGCCTTGGCCAGATTTGTTGCATGCACTGTGACCGTATTTAGTCAAAATTCCAAACAAGCAATTACTTTTGATAGTAATAATGAGTACATACTGACCTAGTAAGATTTAACTGATAGCAATATGCTAATTATTTAAATCAATTATGTCATTCAAATGGATATTTCTTTTCAACACTGTCTGCTAAAAGCCTGATATAACACAGATGTCTTGGCCTGACAGTCCATACCCTATCAATGAGCACAGAGAGAGCTGGATCAGGTCATCTTTGTGCGTACACAGGGGAGAGCGAAGGGAAAACCCATGCACACCTAGATGGCCCATTTTCACTCAGTGCTACTGCAGGTCTAGATGGACCCTCACCACACCCCTGTTGCCTGCACATCCCCACAAAATGAAAGTGAAAGAAGAGCATTCTTTTCTAATTTACCTGCACACTGGTTTTGGAGCTGGCCCAGCTCCTGAGGGATTGCACTCCTGGAAGATGTAGTTACACAGCAGAGACTCAGCGGCCGGTTGGCAGAACGAACTCACCATTTTCAGTTCGGTCCAGGCAGTGTGCACAAGCAGCTCTTGGGTCTCCTCTGGGTCAGCATAGGAGGAGTTGAAAAAAACAAGAGCATTCTTTGCCAAGATAGCGCTACACACCTCACCTCTGTATGTGCTGCAGTAGCCTGCATCACCCTTGTACAGCTTGCTGTTGAGGACAAGAGCATACACACACAGTAAGCTCACAGCCCTAAACACCTGCAGGAGCAGGATGCCTAGGCTCTGTTTCTGAATAAAGTGGCATCTGTAAGGGTAACAAAGGGTGGAGGAGACGGTAGATGGTTACAAACACTACAACCAGCTAATACCATCCAGAAATTAAACTTCTGCAAGGAACTGTGGTGTGAGCACAGAGCTGAGGCTCTGGCCAAGGGTTGCTAGCATTCTACCTGGGCAAAAAGACTGAGCGATCATACACAACTGTGACCTAGCACAGCCCCTCGCCCTGCCCCCAGATACTAATTGAAAAATGTTTTGTTTTCCTGCTTCCCTGCAGTAGAGATCAGCCATGCTGCTTGCTGCACACCTGCGATAACTCAGGATTTTTTTCCTCTCCTGACTAGCATCAGTTTAATTTTGGATGGACTCGATTAGCAGGAGCCAGGTGAGTCCCACCCAACACATGCCAGGAAATTCTTCCCAAGATCAGACCAGCCAAGCTCCTGCCTCCCCCTTCTCAGCTCATGCACCCCTCCTGACCTCTCTTCCACACACATTTAGGTGGGAGACACAAGGAGGAGAACAGCACAAGCCTCTGCAGTTTTCCTTCAGGTGCTTCCCTGCAAGGTCCATCCTTTCCTCTTCACCACACCTCGCACTTTGCAAACTCCTGCCACAATGCATGGGGCCAGAGCTCTGATGGGGCAATAAAAAGCACAACAGGGACAGCTCCTTCACAGGCTGCTTATTTATCTTTCCCGGGTTTTTCACATCTAGCAGGAGACAGCTGTCATCCCTCCTTCCCATCTTCCCCACGGCCATCAAAAGGGAGCAGCAAGGCGAGGACATGCACAGGTCAGCCATGTCACCAGCAGCTCCCATGGCTGCCCCATGGCAGCAGGGTCTGTGGTGAGGATGTGCCCTCCGCTGAGGCAGGCTGTGGGATGCGGAGCCCTCGCTGAGGGGGGGGAAGACCTGGGAAAACAGCCTCCCTCCCCTGCACGCAGGGGACGGCTGTATGGGGAGGGGAGGAGGGATGGGTGCAGCTGTCCCCACTGCTCATTCGGCCAGTTTAACGGAGGTCAGGGAGTTCAATTCACAACATGTCAACCATTTGGAGTAGCCAGCAGGGCTATTTGTATCTTTGCCTTCTATTTCTTTCCTCTGTCTAAATAATCGCCCATTCTCAACCCTGGGGGTTCTTGCTGTTTTTCTTGGGAAAGCTGGAGGTACATGGACAAGTGATTATACACATTTCAGCTTTTCAGATGCTGCTCTCTGCAGATGATGCTCTCTGGCCCTGATTTAGCTGCACTACTTGGAGCTCCATGTCAATTTTTTTTCAATTATTACTTTTTCCTATACATCACAATGGCTAAAAAATATAGGAAGGCACTGATTCCTTCAGGTAGTACCAAAACTGCAGTGAAGGTGTGACACCCTGCATCACCTCAGGCTCCACAGACACCCTTGTGTGTGACACTGGCACTCCTCGGCATCCTGCACTGGTCCCACAGCCCCTGACATCTCCCTGGCACAAAGCAGGTTCCCCCACAGCACCGTGCTGTCCCCAGCACCCTGCTAGAGCCATCCTTGGTGTGGAAGGGGCCACGTTATTCATATTGTCCATTGTGCTTAATCTGAAAGGTACATCCTTCCTGTGCTCCAAAAGGCAAAAGAAGGCACAGGCAGGCATGGGGCAGCTGTGCTGCCGATTTCAGTGGGCTGCAGAAGCAGCCTGACAAGAGCCACCATCACTAATATTGTGTTTTCTTGCTTTTTTAGAACCTGCAGGGAGACACAGACCAGGCTGTGATGGAGAGGCAGCCACAACGTGTTTCTCACAACACCTTGTCACAGAAAGGGAGTTTTGTGTGGCAAATGTGGAGAACAACTGAAGGACAGAAGGGCTGAGTATTTGATCACAGTTCCCATGTCTGTCACACCTATATGGGTGCAGGTGTAAGGCGTAAGTCTGCCATCATCATCGGGGGGTTACTAAATCACTTACAAACATCCTGAATCAATCTTGCAAGCCCCAGTGAGTGAGGCAAGTGCCTTGGCAGGGAGCCTGTGTCAGCAGAGTGGCAAAGCCATTTGCTCAGGCTTTCTCAGGCTCTGCTCTTTGCTCTGTGGGCTTAGTAGCTACCAGCCGTCCTCACAGGCTAACCCTCTCATTTTCCTTCCAGACTGATCTCCCAGTGCAGCCTGTAGAACTATGCTAGGACTCTAAAAAGAAAAAAACAGCCAAATTGTTCAGTACTCAACAAAATACTAAGGAAAATCGCATGCCTGATGACACACAAGTGGCTTTACCCATGCATAACTCTGCTTGGAACAAATGACTAAACTTCTCTTGCCCTAATCTGGTCATCACCAAACCAAAATACATTTATTGGCTCTGTATACACAGGAGTTTAACTTGCAGTTAAGGTTTTGCCTGTAAATTTATAAGGTCAGTGAATTTGCGGATGTGTAACTGTGAATAGAATTTACTCCAGAATATTCTGTCCACTACCATATTTTAAACACCCTTACTGATGTGTGATCCACTGCTTGCTTGATACAGAACCATCCTTATCTACCTGGTCCCAGACTCCAATTATGCCTGTATAAAGAAGCTCAGTGTTCCCTTCAGGTGTACCTCATCTGCATGCTTGGCATCCAGAAACTCACTCCCTTCATTTAAGTAAAATTGGCCAAATCCCCTTGGTTCATCTTTCTTCTCCTCCCTGGCCCAGAGAAAGGCCCCAGGCAGCCACAGAAAGTCATTCTTACCTCCACTCTGCCAGAAGGCACCGGGTCCAGGAATTGTGATGAGCCAGGAGAAAGAAGAAATGGAAAAGACATCAGTGACACTTCATTGCCCCCTATGAGATATGGGAGTTAAGATTTTCATGCTAGGAAATGTGTCCAAGACCTGTGAGCTGTCTGAAAAGGATGCAGCTCAATTCTGTCCTTATTTTGCAATTTCTTGAGGGGAAAAAAGAGTTTGTCATCACTGGATGCTGTATGGGTATCACAAGGCTGTGCCCTCCACTTGCAGCACTGCAGGGAGCTGGGCTGTGCTGGCACAGGGAGGGGGCACTGAGCATTGGCCGAGGACCAGGACACCCCTGCAGTGGGACCCCTGGGAGCTGGGACAAGGTGAAGGCAGGCTTCTGCTCAGGTCTGGGAGGCTGTCCCCCTCTTGCTGAGCTCAGGCAACCAGGAGGAGAGCAGAGCAGCTTCTCCCACCGGCCTAAAGCACCTGCCCTCCCTACTGCACTTGCAGCTCTGCTTCATGGGGCAAAGCCTTGCCTGGGCTAAAAGCAGAAGTGGGGATGTAAAAGACGGTACCAAGCGTTGAGTGTCTTATGGGCCAGAGCTTGCTGCTAGGTCTCAATGCCCACTGTAAGAAAGGGCATGATTATTTTCTCAACAGAGCAGCAGCTGAGGCACAGAGAGAGGAGCAGATGCATGCCTGGTTCACAGCAGGAGCAGGGCTACCACCCTGTGTCTGGAGTCCCGGGTAATTCCTCTTCCTCTAACTAAACCTCCCTGCCTGTCCCAAGAGGGAATGCACAAGCTGCCGCCTTTCTCTTACTGTGATAAATGCTGTCAGCTAGCTCAGACCATTGGTATTTCTCCTCCTTGGATCATCCTTTCCCCATGTGGGAGATGTCCCTGAGAGCAGAGGTTACCCCAGGCAGGGTACTGCTCTGACAGCAACCTCCCTGCTCTCTGGATGTAACCCCCTAAGGAGCGAAAGTGCTCACAAAAGCTATTTTCACCTTGCTGTTAGGTGATACCAACGCTGGGCCATGGCCATGACTTCCTCCACATGGATGAACTTACCAAGTGTGCTTCTGGGACACAAAGTACAAGAAGGCACCAAACATTCAGGAAATGACAGCTGTGCCAGTCTCCAAAGGGTAAGAACATATGAGGAAATACCCTGGCGGAGGATGCACTTGTACTCAAATTTAGCCCCCTGCACACTATCAGCTCTCCAAGGCTTTCCCTCCTTGTCCGGAGTACTTCACACCCCTTTCCTCTCCCCCAGCAGGGTTGCTAGGACTGCGATTGCAAGGGTGAAAAATTAACACCCCCTTCTTTCCCAGCATACCTGAGACACTGATGGTTGCTGCAGCTTTTGCGGCTCCAAAAGTTTTGCTGTGTTTGTTCGTGGCGAGGCAAGTGAACAGGCCAGGTCGGGTGACATACACCTGCAGTCTGGAGTCAACCACTCTGTCCTTGACACTTTCTGCTACAGACCCCGCAGAAACCTAAGGGAGTGAAAAGCCCACTGCATTGGTGTTTCCAACAAAGGCAAACAAACAAACCAGGGAAAAAACTAAGTGACCTAGTCCCAAACATTTAAACTGGCAGAGAAAGATGTAGCAAGCAGATAGAAGCGGCAAGGAGCTAAAGCTGCTGGTGTTATTTTGGTGCTTTCATAGCAGCTGACTTCAAGACAAAAGCAAATGTTGAAGGCCTCTCCTATTTCATACTTCAGCAATACTTCTTCAATTAATTTTCAGTTCCAGAGCACTGTAGTCTCAGTGTTGGTCAAGTAATTGAGTTGGCTAATTACTCCAGGACCTCTTCTAGTAGATTGTTTGCCTGTTCATGCCTTAGCGATGAAGGGCACAAGGTGACTTTGTGGACCCTGGCTAAATAGAGTGAGAAAAGAAAATAGAATCATAGAATCATAGAGCTGTTAGGTTGGAAGGGACCTTAAAGAACATCTAGTTCCAAAATACTTTGGAAGTTGTTGATTCTGGATTAATGTAACCACTACCACACTTCCAAAGCAGTCATGAGCAAAGAAAGAGCTCTGGCTTCAACAGTTTGGTGGATATCTGATAGATTTTCTTATCTCAGACCTGGAAATATGGAAGGGGCTGCAGACATGGTGATTCGGGCCAGTTCTTTTCCCAGGTAAATAAGCTTGGAGCATACTGATTTTGGTCGGTTAGGTTCAATTTTATCCTCAAGTCTTTCCTGCTCATATGGCATTCATTAAAGTAAGAGGACATGGTACACCAAGACTCTACCTTACAAAGGCAGTAGGAAGGAGCAGCATTGTCTGCTGTACCTTTCATCCTGATAGGAAGCATCAAGTGTAATTCAAGCATGATGTGGTTGCCCATCGATCGTACCGGTGCAACCTGGCCCTAAGGACAGTGAGAGTTGTCTCCCTGGATCCATCCCAGCAAAGCATTCTACCTACGCATCTGTCTGAGAGGTTACAGAGACCAATCTGACCTCCCTGGAAGTTAGTAGAAATGTGATTTCAATGGGATCTCTCCCTGCTCCCAAAGGTATTAACAGAGATAATTGAAAAAGGAAGAAGGGATGCATCAGTATTATATTACGTCTTCAGTAAGCAGATTGGTTTCTCTCTGAAAAGAAAATACGGAAAATAATATCTTTGTTTCGCTTCACTCAAGCTCAACTTGGAGTTGTGGTGAAGGAATGTGCACGGGAAGAAATCACTAAATAACTGGACCAACACTGTTGTTGTAAGTATTGCATCGGGAATGGGTGGTATACGGGTCACTGAGCAAAGGCAGAGACTAGGGATATTTTTTTGCCTTATGTTGTGAAGATGGATGGGAGCTCAGGCTAGGAGATCAGAATGGATCAGGTGGATGGGAGCTCAGGGGATATTTTTTCACAAGTTCCTCTTTTGTTACAGTGCTGGTCAGATTTATATCTAGAATTTTTCTCTCCCCAGAAACCACTCAGCACTAAGACACTGCTGGGACCTTCCTGGTGGAAAGGAGGAATTTCTTTACAGGCTGCCCCTGGCTCTAGTACCTGCCCAGGAGAGGTGGCCACTCACCCTGAGCTGATTGTGCTGATCCAGTCCTCTCTCCTTCGTTGCCCCTCAGGCGTACCCTGTCCTGTTATCTCTCCTCCCACCATCTCTGGGCTGTGCCTGGTGAGCACAGAGAACCAGGATTGCTCCTCCCAGCTTGGGCAGTGGGAGGAAAAGAGGACTCGGGTAGCAGCAAGCAGCAGGAGCAGTACATGTGGTCGCATGCACTGTGGAAAATCACAGGTGAAAGTATGAGGTAGTTATGCCTAGGACTTCCACACCAGCCGTCTGTTTCCTCTGCTGGGACCCTCAAGCCATTCCCTTGTGTTACTTGATTCCCTTCCCTTTTCAAATACATTCCCGGAGATTTTGTTTCCAGCAGATATTTTTTTAGCCTTTAAAATGCCACCTTAGCCACCACCCAAGCAGAGACCTCTTCACATCTTCACACCTTGCTCACTTACGCTTTGCAGTAAGGAAAACAACCGTTTAGGGTCCATGATGCACCGCAGTGCACAGTGGGAGGAAAAGGAATTGTGTAGGTAGGCAAGACAGCTGCTGCACGGAGGAGTTTCCATCCTTCTCTTCAAAGGCAGCTCAATAACCTCAGCAGATTCCCACTCTTTAAACCTCAGGCCAATTACAGGTCGGCATTCAGAGACTGTAATTCCGCGGGCACGTTGCATCTTCAAATGACTCACTGTTGCTGCTCATGAGCCAGTCCTCAAACACAAGTGCGGTAGTCCACCCGCTTCCTGGCCTGACTTTCCCAGAGACATGCTCTCGTTAAGGTCTCCTTGCCATATTTAAAATGAGGCAGTCTGGAGCACCACCCTCCTGGGACTGGGCTTTGCCTTGCAGGCAGGAATGGGGCACAGCAGATCTGACCAGCCAGTCAGTGACCCCAGCAGGGGCTGGGCATCATGTCACACACAGCTCTCTGCAGGACCAACTCATCGGTGGAAACGTAACAGAGCATGGGGCTGTGCTTCAGAAATACTGTGCCCATGCCAGGGACCCCAGACTCCCCCAAAACATTTCTTTCCTAAGGGGGAAGAAGTCTTGAATGAACACCCAGAGTTGTCTCAAAATAATTATCGCCAGAAACTACCAACGTCCCACAGGGCTCTGTATGGGCTGATCTGCTCCCTTTGCTATTCTCCCTAGTGACTTCAAGGGGATATAGAAAATTAGCCATAATCATACTGGAGGACACAGTAAGGTTTGGATGACATAAGGAAGGCAAGACAGCCTGCAGAGTAGCTCAGGCTCCTTAATAATGTATTTTAGTACATGAAAAGAGGGGATACAGACCAGGACAGGGATAGCCTCTGAAGTAAGGAACTTGAGTAAGAGTATTTATTGGTCCTGTTGGACAGGTAAGTCCCCAGGAATGGCCATGGCCAGCCAGTGGCCAGAGGACTTGGGGTTGTCAGAGGATCAGTGAGAAAGAGAAGAGGCAAATAGCCAGCCTGCCCGCAGTGCCTGCCCCACCTGCCTCCACAGCATCACTCCCTGGGGCCTACATCCTTAAAAAAAACATTGAAAGACCACAGACAGTATAAAACATGTCCAGCACAAGCGTGTGAAGACCAGAAGAAACCCATGGCAGGCTCAGGCTGCAGACCTGCTGTGACTGTGGTGCACCGCTTGCTCCCGGGGAGGCAATATCAGGTGTCAAGAGGTTCTTCAGTTCAGCTGAAGGGAAGGCATTGCAGTAGCGTACACACGGACATGAAAGCCAGATGAATTCAAAGCAGGCACCTATTTTAAATGGTCAGGATAATTAGACCATGGAACAATTTCCTGTGAGAAGCACTGGATTTGCATTTCTGTGTGCCTCCTGCTAAAGACGGTGTGGCTTTCTTGAGGATGTGCTTCTAGCCAGGAATAAATTGGTGACATACTTCATTGTGTCATCTAAGTCAGTCTAGAAAATTTCAGAGCTATTCATCTGCAAATATGCTGTGCATATTTACTGTCCCACTGGTGTTTTGCCTCCAGACAGTTTGCCTAACTATGTCAGTTGGTGTTATTTTGTCAACTAAGCAATTTTGCCAAATAAAGGATTTTGCCATATTATTGTTATCACATTAGGAAAAAGGAGAGGAAAGGTAGCTGCAGAAATACTTAAACCCAGGATGAAGTCCTAGAAACCCTGGCTTGGAGGAAGGTTGTAAGCATTCAAAGCATTCTTCATCTCAGGCCTTCCAGACCCTAACAAATTAATCAATGCGTCACCCTAGAGAAGCGGGAGAGTGTTTTGCAGAGGACAAAATTGCAGTGGGGAGGTGAGATGGGCTCAATTTGATTGCACAGCGAGGCGCTAAGTAAGGCAGGAATAGAAACCACGGGTGCTGGCTCCCAGCCCCGCATTTTAATCCCTGGGCTGCGCTTCCGGATGATAGCAGCCCTCTGGGGCCAAAAAATCATGAAAAAAGAGAAACTTACAGCTTTCCCATTTTCCAGCCAGGTGATGGTGGGGACTGGAAGGCCGGTCGCTGCACACCGCAATGTCACCACAGACCCAAAGGTGATATTTTGGGATTCAGGAGCCTTCAGGATTCTGGCAAAAACTGCAGAAGACAAAGGTGCTAGTTGAACAGCAATGTAAAGCTGAGGCTGTGCTGGCGTGGAGATGCTTCTTCTCCAACAGGTCTTGAAGTAAGCCACGACCCCACGAACAAAAAGCAGAGCATAACATGGGGTTCCCAGTGAGTGACAGTCTTGGGAGAGGGACAAGGAGGAGACAGAAAGTGATCGGCATGGTTATATTCTGGACCTTACAGACCAAAATTTTACCTCTGGTAATTTCTACATTGTCCGAGTTTGAGGCCTCAGAGAAGATAACATGCAAAAAAACAAGGGCAAACTCATTGGTAGCATGAAGATGGGACAGCTTACAGCAATGTGATTCTGTGATTCTGTAATTACGCAGCAAGTTACGATGCTGCCCTGCCACGGGTGACCACATGTGAAACTTGTTCAAAACCATCAAGGGAGACCACCAGCATGGTCACATACCATGAAGGTTAACGGTCAGATAAGTTCCTCAGTGTGATCACAGTGATTAGGAGTTACCAGGGAAAGCCGCAAACCCCAGTATTTTCCATGCCACGACAACCTGCCCTAAGGGGAGAGAGTCTAACATCAAGTTGCAGGGGAATTGCTGGCAAAGACTTTGGGAAGCTGAGAATGCAGTGTGAAAGCAGGTTTTTAAAGTGACTTCTCATCTCTACTGCTCTTGCTTCTTTTGTGGCAATGTGGTTACTGGGCAGCTTGAAGACAAGAAAGATAAGCCCCAAGAATATTTGGGGGGGGGGGGGAGGGTGAAAAGAAGAACTGAATTATTTTTGCTGAAAATTTATTTCGATCCAGAAACACAACTCTGATGGCTTGCACAAGCTGTATTTCAGCGGCTGTACTTGGACCACATTGAGGAAAGCAAAGAAGAGAGACATTTCCCATGCGGAACATTTGAGTTTTCACGCAAAATTTTTAATGGAGATGCCTGAATGTCTGTGCAGAAGCAGGCTGAATAGTTCTGTGCCATTTCTTACTCCAATTTCTCATGCTTAGTGAGTAATGCTCTCTCTCTACCTTCTGGACTGCACAGCAATGACTAAAAGTCTCCATCAGAAATTTTAGTAAGCCAGCAAGTTTCTCTTGGAGTTCTCAGACAAGCCTGACATCTTGTTTGCCACTTTTGCTATCTGTATGGTTCCCCTTACTAACATATCTGATCATGTCATGGTCTTCTGTGTCTCTATTTGCCCAACGCACCTCTGTGCACTGGTCACTGGTTGCTCCCAGGTGGAGACCTCCAATGAAGACCAAATAGGAGACCAATGAGGGTCCCTGCAGAAACTGAACATCTGTCCCTGCCATTTGGGATGGGAAGGCTTCATCTGCAAATTTGTGTTGAAATAAAAAAAGTGTATGCTTTCCACAGTCCTTCCACCCGGTCTTGGCCTGGGAAGGGGCTGAGATTTGTGTTAACCAACAGCCTAAACACAGCTTTTGCTCATGAACAGGCATGATTAAGATTAGATATAAAGTCAGTGAAGTGAAAAGAGTGGAAGGATATGTATTATATTCAGCTTCTCAGTTCCTCTGTGGTGTCCGAGCAGTCCCTCACTGTCAATGCTCTGTGACACTTACTTAAAGTCCAAGCAGAGCAGCATCGGGGCTCCTGCATCCCCCCTGTCCCTCAGCAAGGCAGCAGGTACAAAGCACCACCACTAACGAGGAAAGCTGCAGTCGCTGGCCAGGGACTTTCCTGACAAATAATAAGCAAAATGAAACCTTTGCCTGAAGTTTCACTTCAGGCCATTAACACCAGATGGTTATGAATTCAGCGCCGAGCGCCCCAGGCCAAGCTCATAATTACTTTTATACTTCGTTCGGAGAAATACTAAACTTTTGGGCCTGTCCCCTGGCAGCAGTTACGTGCACATGGCTCCTGCT